TATCAGCCGATGCCTTGCGTTCCTTGTATTATATAAAGAATAATTATAATATATTAAAAAACCTTAAAATATATTCATTAAAGAATGCAGTGAGTCTGTAATAAAATTATTCTACCATACGTGGACAATAGGGGCACGCGGTAGCGTAGTTGGTTGAGGCACTATGCTACAAGCCGGAAGGTCACGGGTTCAAGTTCCGATGAGGTCATTGAATTTTTTTAAGTTGACCTAATCCTTCCAGTCGCACTATCTTCCTGGGGTCGACCCAGCCTCTAACAGAAATGAGTACCAGGAATATTCTTGGAATATTCTTGGGGGTAAAGGGCGGGAGGAGCGTAGGACTGAAACCTTGCCGCCATCTATGAGCCGATTGTTTTGAAAATGTGTGAACCTCAACATCTCACAACCCTAAGGACCTCCACGGCCTGTTACAGGGATACCTTTACTTTACGTTGATAATATATGTGGCTAATATATGTACGAACCCTGATATATTTGCAGATTAGAAATCGTAAACTACAATAGCAGCAGCTCTAGGACCTACGTACAGACAAATGAAAATTATAGGAATAAGTTATTACAGCTATGGAATATAGACTTTCCTACTTCAGCAAGCGAAATATACGCAACACATTCAAAATGTTTAAATAAGAAACCAAGAGGGGAATCGAGAAGCATATCAGATACCAAATTACTATAGCCTGAGCATTAGTCCACGTAATGCGCAGAGGTTTCATTAATGGCACCGTGCCGCAAGCTCTTACAATCCTTACCTTGTAGATAAGGTCCTTGAGGCTGCCCTTGTTGTTGAACGGCAGAACCAAGACAACAAAGGTCTGACCCGACACATCGCGAAAGTCCAGGTCCAGGACGGGGTAGATGTAAGGGTGCTGAAGAGCCAGGAACAGTTCTAAGATTGTTCCTCTGGTGCTGGGGTTGCATTCTATGGCGCAGTTGGGACTGAGGGGCACTAGTGTGAGGAGGCGCTCCGTCTTCATCGATGTGTCGCGAACCACGAACCAGTGCTTGTCCACTCGTGAGCCTGCATCAAGTGTATAGTGCTAGTGACCTTTAATGAACTAGATCTGTATTCTCGAACTATAATCTGGGATCTCCGTGGTCCCACATATTTCGTTAAGTTTCCAATCAAATATTAATTTTCGTTTCGTATTGCTAATGGAAGAGTTTTCTCTCCTAAACTATTCATTTGCCGTGCTTGGCAACAGTAAGATTACATAAAGCGATCTAACCACCCCTGCTAACCAGGACTGGTAAACTGGAGCGGGTTTGTCGCGGAATATCACAAAATGTATCTAGGACTTGAGGTTCTCACAGAGTTGGCTATGAAGAGTGCTATCCACTGGGATATAACGATGTTTCGAAGGAACATTTCATCTCTATCTTCAGGTTTGAAGAATAAGACAAGCAATAACCAGAGTGAAAGCAGGTGGAAAACAGAGCCCGGCAACCTACCTAAAAGATAGAACTCTTCATTAAATATATCATTTACCAAATGTCAGAACATTGGATGTTGAACAATCTTGTGCTATACAGAAGAGAAAATCTGTTACTTGGTTTCTCGATATTTCGTCAAGATTGTTTCCAAATACGTTGCAGTTGTAACCTTAAGAAGCGTAACACGCCCACACATCTGTCGTGTACACTTGGTGTGACGTAGGTTCTATCGGTAATGATGCATCTTCTAGGGCAACTGGACACATATCAATTCGGCGTCACAAAATATGTTCATAATTTGGACTCTAAAGTGCGTCTAATATAATTTCTGACCAATTTTCATAAATATGTTGGGTCTATATACTTTCTACATGCTTCTAATTGTTTACTGGCCGTGACAGTATCCGAGCTGAAGCTGACTGGTCTCCACTGCTTACAGATTAATAAGAAAAGCCTAAGGAAATGCTGTGATACATATCAAGATATTGCTGCATCGTGCACTTAAGGCTGCTAAGAGAAACCACGACAGTCAGCGTAGACGTTTTACTTCGGTGTTGATCGGCCCTTTGAAATACGAAATAAAGTAGTTGTGACTACATTTGAATAAATTTTCTGTTCCGTGAGGTTGGTAACGAGATATTTTCGAGGTACAATACGTAGAACTGTTTACGTTTTCATTTTCATTATAAGAACTAGCGAAATTATATTAAAACTATTTAGCTCAATTTATTTGAATAGAAAAAGTACCAGCCATATTACAAATAGCTGGCTAATCAGAAACTGAGAACACAAGTTAACTTCTTACAAGCTGTAGTTGGTTGGCATGAAAAAAGGTTATCGAACATAAGAATTTCGGAACTTTCCTGAGCTTAGCTCTTCAGAGCATGAGTGAAGCAGTTGAAGAATTAACTATGTGTACACAGAACCAACGAACTTCATAGAGCATATTCCAACCTGAGAGCTGACAGCCGCTCAGCTAGTCATAAATTTTGAAAATCGTAAGGAAAGCAAAATTTCACTGCAATCTGTCATTGAACCCGATAGTAAACCAATTAATCAGGCCGTGCAATATTTAAGAAATTTAGTCGCCGGCTTGGGTCGCGCCATAGCTCAAGCGGTTAGCCGCTGGCTTCCACTCGCGGCGGCACGGGTTCGATCCCGGGTATGGTCAAATGGGATTTGTGGTGGACAAAGTGGCGCTGGGGCAGGTTTTCTCCGAGTACTTCGGTTTCCCCTGCCAATCTTCTTTCCACCAATTGCTCCAGAATCACCCTCACCTATCATCTAGTGCTGGTACAATAGGCCAGAAGTGGCCGCAGTACAAGGGGCTTAGTCCCACCCTATTATCATTATAAAACAGTTACATTGAACAGTTGTCTCCGTACTTATCAATGAAGATATTCTACTATGAACACCCACATATGCATAGCCCCAGCAGTAAATAGAGGCATGTGATGAATTTCATTTTGCGGCCTGGGATATTAGAGAACGGTGGGTCAGGTGGACTCCAGAATAGTTGAGGCAGTTCTCGAACGCCTGTGCTAGAACTGAACCCCGGAACTGGAAACTCGCTGCTATCATACCGATGTCGTTGAGATGGTACAGCAAGGTGTATCGCGGACACGACCGCAGATAGTGCTGACAAGCATTTTGGGCGCGTTCCCGTGCCTTCCGCTCCAGTTCCAGCCGCTCGTGCACGTTGGAGTCCGCTTCCAGCGCCGTGTACTCATACCGACCGCCATGTCTGTGTGAAGAATCAGAGGAATATCTCATAAACACGCTAATATCAGATTGACAGTGTGAAATGTTGTCAGTCTGAAATCCTGAGGACAATTCAACGTGTGCCAAACGCCACGGTTTATTCAATATACTCGCAGCTAACTTGTACAAGAGTAAAACATCACCCAGTAGTGATAGAGCACCCACGTTAGGCTGGTAACTTCAGAATACACGTACAAATTGGATGCATTGCCGGTGAGCTAGCCGGATCGGTGTCAGACAAATATTTAATGTTCAGATCCATTAAAAAGTTTAGTACGCCGCATTTTTATTCCCCTTGGTATGCATGAAAACATCGGTCTGACACAGTAGAAGAATTCAATTTTTAAAGTACTGATCCACGTGGCTCTCTTCAAATAAACCTGAGTGATTTGTTTGGATGTTTGAAAGCAAATTTGAAAAAGTTTATTGTGCGGCTACCAACTTGGTCTCTTACTCTTTTGCGAAATCAAGTGAAAACTTCACTCTCATGGAGCTGAGCACTTCTTGAGAAGCCGCCAATTGTGCAGTTACTCAAGAATTTCCCAACATTTTATGGAACCCTAAGGTTCAGTACCGTGTTCACAAGAGGCCTCCAATGGTCTTTATCCTCAGACAGATCTAACCAATCCATACCATCCCATTCTATCTCTCTGAGATCCATTTTAATATTGTCCACCCATCTACGTCTTGGTCTTCCTAGTGGCATCTTTCCTACTGGCTTTCCCACCAATATCCTATATGCATTCATCTTCACTACCATTCGTGCTAAATAACCTTCCCATCTCATTCTTCTTGACTTGATCATTCTAATTATATTTGGAGAAGAATACAAGTTATGAAGCTCCTCATTACGCAGTTTCCTCCAACCTGCTGTCACTTGAATACTCTTCGGACCAAATATTTTCCTCAACATCCTCACTCTGTATTCCTTTCTTAATGTCAGAGACCAAGTTTCACAACCATACAGAACTACAGGCAAAATTATATTTTTTATATTTTTAGGTAGCAGACGATAAAAAAAAAGGTTCTGGTCTGAATCAAGCGAAGACTTAATGAGGGATTTTCTAATCAACTGTAAAATGTTAGTGTTAAGAGTAAATTCACCTTACGTTTAATTTACTTGAACACAGAGTGTGACCATTTACAAGTCAACGAAATATCAGTTTCCGTTCTTCGAGGTAACGTCCATGCGCCTCAAAGATTGGCAGGGTGAATTTCTGATGGCAGAAAAACAAACAAATGAACGAGATCTTGCAGTTATCTAGCGGTATGAGCTCTTGTGTAGAATCTGAGAACCACACATTTCCCTTTATAAAGAATCCTATCTTCTCGGATATAATGCTGTGAAGTCCGTCGAAACTCAGCCGACGTTTCAGAGAAGAATTTCGCCTCCGAAAAATCGGTTGACTACACGGCTACACGGCGTTATGTCCCGGAAGGTAGGACTCCATATGGTGGCTTTTGCGGTTGCATCACGCGTTCCATAAAACCATTTTTTCGTAACGGAAAAGAGGGAAATAAAGGAAATCACGTAATTAAGAAGTGCATAATTTGCACCCTTACTCTAAAACTGTTGGGGCAATTAATCAAGAAAAATAAGGCAGGGCATGTAGCATGAGTGGTAAAAGTTTAAATACATAAGAATTCTTATCTCAAAACTAAAAATATTAACCTCAAAATTAAAAAAAAAATAGATCTAGAGAAATTTTCTGAGACCTAAGTGTATAGGAGAGGATATTATTTAGAAAGGATCTTAGATGAATAGCATATGAGGATATTGACTGAATTAAACTGGCACATGTTGATATATAATGGTGTTATTTGTGAACAAGGTAACGAAAGTTAGGGCTACATAAAAAGCAGACATTGTCTACAGCAGCTGCATATTAACGTTCCAAGAAGTACTTAAACAATTACATCCTTAAAACAAATCAATAATTTTATACCGATACGTGTGGTCACTCACCCATTTCCAGCGTTAAAACACACAGTAGCCGTGGAATTCTTTGACTTGCGCGAACGAGGGAGCACATTGATTAATCCCCAGTAAAAAGGTCCACGACGTTTTGGTTTCTTTTTACCAGCACCATCACCGGGATCTAGAATTTGTTTCCTGAGCGGTCTGTGAATATCCAGTTCAAGGGAGTGCTCATACTCGAAGCCAGGAATGTGGTAACTGCTTAAATCTTGATTGGGGGACGGCGAAGGTTCGAACATGGTCCATACGCGCACACGCATAAACACTACAACCACCACCACCCAATTCTGCACGTCTGCTTCCTTATTGTTGGTCTGTCTGCAGTGAATAATGTAGTTTAAATAATGCTGCTCCGCTGTTATGTAGCCTCAGGGAACTGCGAATTCCAGTCTACTGCCACCATCGTTAAGCATAGCGAACACTTCTAAACAGAGCACAAACCAAACTTCGTCTCTTTATGTGCTTGCTTAACACAGATAAATAGATCGGCTTCAGAAAGGGTTTCACTTTGTTTTAATACATTTTTCAAGTATGCAATATTTTGGTAAATTAATTATACAAATATTGATTACATAATGAATTCACAGGTATCCATGGTCGACAGTTTATGAAATTGTTTTATTAATAACTAATAAGTAGCCTTGATTAGATCCCAATCATCCTGTCTTCATGTCACCCCACTCCTATCTTAATACACGTCAATATCCATCAACAAATATCTACATAACAGATATCAATTTTGTGTATTTAATATAAAGTGCAGTCAAATCTCAACAATTTCGACCTAATTCTTCTTCGTAACAACAGCTGCTCCTGTAATAAACCAACTTAGTGCGTTCAGTAATTTAAGGTCACAATCTGACAGTTAAACCAAATTATAGTATATATTACGCTTTCAATATTCAGAGTCATTTAAATTTCAGAGTAAAAAATATTCTTGCGGCAACACTGAAACAGCCAGCAAGATTCTAATATTGAACTTACTAAAAACAGATTAACACTTGCACGGTCCGTATTACACAAGAAATGTAGTCGCTGATCACTGAAATATTTTCATATATTTTATTACTTCGACCTTCTCCAAGAACAACCACAAAATGAATTCTCTGTTCACCACACACTAGTCACAAATCAACTTCATTCTCTAAGAGCGCCAAGTGATTGAGCTTCGTCGATTTAGTACGGTTGATGAACTCATAACAAATATCCCCCATGACAGACAGCTTTGGCTGCGGTAGTGAACATCAACAAGGAAACAGAGCACTCCAGTCAAATATTCCTGTTCTTTGTATACAACTGAGTGAAGGAATATGCGTATACTTTTAAATATACAAGATAGAACCTGGGCTATAAAAGGGTATCCATGTTTTTGAGGTTCTTCATTAAAGTTGAAATAATTCTCTTCATCTCTTTCTAAATTCAAGTAAAAATTTTAACAAACAGATCATGCAAGTAGCACTTGAATAGCTGTAATGCATCAGAAATTAACCTTTACAATAAGTTGCAGACCTAGCAAAACCTCATTCCAAATCGCTCTAAATATTATTGCCATTCATAAGGCTAAAATTTTAAAAACTAAATTCCAAAATTTTCCACTGCAGCACGGAAATTGTTACAGCGAAAATGAATAATATCTCACATAAAAAATCAGATTACAATTTCTAGACCAAATGTATAGAATGTTTTAATAATATACTTTGCATAAATATTTCACAATTCTACGAATGGCTTGAACATGAATTCTCTAAAGATTTATCAAAGAAGAAATCATCGCAGCACTTTACAGCTTTTCAGCAAAATTAATTTTAAAAATAGGCCCAGGAATCTGCCAGCACTGACCTGTCAATCAGGGCGAACTAAAATATTTACTTCCGATTAAAGAAAGACGGAACATATACGCTTTCACGTTCAGACTCTGAAAAAAAGCTGACGTTTAAATAGATACAAAACAGACAAATCAGTCAAGGAGGCAGCACGTCAATACGCATGCGGGCTTTGCGTTTAGGCATGGATCACTCCTACAAATAGAATGTTTAGATTTGAGGCTAACGACAGGAAAGATGAGTGAGTGTTGATTACTAGATAGGGGAATGACCTACCGCATTCAATGAAGAAGCAGACACGGGTTTATACAGTGTGGTAACGCAAAGAACACAAACAAGCTCGCAAGTATTCTTATGTTTCCGAGTCTTGATCACAAGCCTTCATTTCCTTTTATTCACGAGCTCTTTCGCAGAATAATAGAAACTGTTTCACGGAAACGTTTCATTAAACTGAATATTGTCAAACTGCTCAACAAATGAGAATCAGGAAACTCAAGCACAAAGGCAAGAATGCAGTGTCATGTTATATCGGAGAGCAAGTACGTGTTGAGCTGGCCAAAGAGATGCCCTTTCGCCATGACTGTCCACATAAAAATTGTATAAACCTGGACAAGTAAGACAGGTTTTAGCCTGAGTCCGGCTATGCACAATTAACTAGTGCTGCATACAATAAATTTAGATTAAGAAAGCAGTCTTCTGTAACGTGGCACCGTGTAGATGTGGTGTTAACCGATGTTTCGGAGGAATGTATCGCCTCCATCTTCAGGGTAGAAGAAAAAATAAGAAATCCGCAAGCGAAGAGACCGTGAGAACCGGTACAAGCAGACCGGTGTCTGGTGTCCGTCTTATGTTTCATTTTATCTTTCAGGTTTCTATTCCACCCCATTTGTATGGTTGCGCATGAGTGCATTTAACACCCTGAAGTATGAAATTCTTCGTAATTCAATTCTCATAGGCAGAAAACTGTGTTGTTTCGTCACAAATACCGGTCTTCTGAATGTTGTTTTGAGTAATTACAGCTGCTTACTCAGAGAGAAATATTTTTTTTTCGTTTCCTTTATTGACAATCAGGTTGTACAATCTACAAGTCAAGAGCTGATTAGTGTACAATATAAAAGCTATTTGTACACTACATGGCGTGAGCGGAATAAATATCCAGTGGTGTTTTCCTCACTTCCTTAAAGCTAGTGGTCAAATTCTTTTGAGTCTTCGATTAGAGAGTAATATGAAACACAAAAAATAAAAAATGAAAGCTTTTGATATTTTTAAAGCAGATGGTATACATTGTAATCACCGTGTTTCAGAGAGTACGAAGACCAAGATAGCACTACATAGTTGTTCTGGAAATATATTGTCAGTGAACTTGATTGAATCTATTCAATGACAGGAATTTTAAATTACTTCTTCGTCTTACCAGGAATGCCAGGCTTATGGTGGCATGCCAGCATGTCTGTCCCAGCTAATATTGTTTGAAACAATGATCACATTTTACATTGGTGTTTAAGGTGAGATTTCTTTTCAGCAAATGCTTCCTAATGGAAGTCCGAAAGTATTCACATGCTGGAGATGAGATAAAATTGACTTGAAACACACCTTCCAAGATACTAAAAATCTTCACAAAATTCCTTCTGGTATGACACCTACAAATTTCTTTGTGTGCAGGTCAATACTGTATGTGGTCTACCTTGCCTACTTATCTCTGTAATTGCAAATCTTATTTGTGATTGCTAATAGGCTTACCGAGAGGAAATCCTAGAAGTGTTTCCGCTAACCTACATATATTTGGTCCCGTACGATAAATTCTATTATCCCTGTTATATAAATATCAGTGTCTTGTAAATGTAACTTATGAAATAAAATGTGAGGCAATTTACACACGGAAAAGCACACGCTTAGTCCATTACAGAACTTTGCAAACTTAAGTGGAAGTTTTAATGGTGTAAGTTCAGGTCAAATCTAGAACAACTAGCAATTTAGTATTTTATTAACAGACTCTTTCAAATTTCGGAACAACAATTAAGATTTGTTTCATCGCTTTCCTCTTTTTAATTTTTTAATGAAGCTCTCTCAACGCATAAATAACACAGCGTTGAATGGTGGATGATAAAGATTAATGAATTGGAATGTCATTTCAAGGTCCTCTAAAACGAAGAAAGTTTTTGCTGTAATCTCATCGCATTGTTGAGTCTGGGAATATATCGGCTACACGGAACGTTGGCACAGCATGTCACCACTTAACAATATTTGCATCGTCATATAAAATGGCGGTTAGCTTCGGAATTGAATTAGTTCGACCTAACCTCAGTTTATTTCGAAAACCGAGATAAATTCATACATAATTTTAGTCACTGGAATAATTAAACTTAGCACATAATTAAATTCTATAAACAATTAGGATAGAAGTTGTAAACTTTTGGTCTGAGGTGCTTTAATTATCGACGTTCAATAGCAGCAAGGTAACATGCATTAACTTCAGCATAATTCCGTGTAATACACAGATAGCGCTCTCTATGTGCTTCACATTTCTCATGTTCGTTTCGATACTAATTTTTAAAACATATGCGTTTACCGCACAAAAGGTACTTTTTATTTAAATGAATTCAGCGGCACAATAAAAAAAGGAAATTTCACATATCGTGGGAGTAAATTGATCTCTTAAATCAATACTTATATGACTAACAGATTTCACACTCACCCCCAGCCCGAAAAACGCTCATGAATCTACAGTTTCATCCTGGAGGACATAATTCGATCCCGGGATGATTTCCAAGTGCACATGCATCACAATTATGTAAGCTGTTGTAGGTTTTAAATTACAAAAAAAAAAAGTTTAATTAATCTTACTTAAAATCAGACAATGACTTAGATACTTTTGTAACATATGCCCTGGGCACTGAACCTAGAATGAAAATACGGTACGCCCGGCGGAATGAAATTACTGATTCGAGAGTATTGTTTTTGGATGATGATAAAATCTAGTAATTAAATTATAAAACAACTGTACGACTTTAAATCTGACAATATCTACTAGGCTTAAATTACAGATCGATTACATGAATCGACCACTACCACAAACACATAATGGAATCTTGACTCATCTATTGAAATTTTTAACAATTACAGAGCTTTGGCTATGCATACTGCCCTATTCGTATTATTGCTTAGCTTACTCTTAAGGTTCGGCCACACAGAGCGCTACGTGCGCGACGCACGCTACGTACGCTATGTTCGCTATACGAACAGAAAAATATCTCCCTTTATTGCCAATGTGGCTGGCCACACAGACTGTCGTACGCTACGTACGTTATGTTCGCTATGTTAGCTGCGTCGCATAGTGTTTGATTCTCGGCTATATTTTTAAAACGTCGCGCTGGACAGGCATGCGCACTGGNTCTTAAGACGGAAGTTATATACCCCTCTGAAACGTCGTTTGACTTTCACCGGGCTAAAAGGCGTTACATCACAGAAACCGGAACTCTTATATTAATTTGTTCTTTGTTAGCCACTCCCATTCCAGTCGATGTATCTAACGGCGTGTCCACATTACTCGTGCTCCTGCTCGTGCTCGTAAATCTTCGTCTACACTACTTCAGTTGCTCGCCAGGCTTCGGCGCGTGAGGATCCGTATAT